GTTTTTAGTAGAGATGGGGTTTTGCCATGGTTGGCCAGGCTGGCTGATTTAACACAATTTCTTTCTTTCCCTTTTTTTGAGTTGGAGTCTCATTCTGTTGCCCAGGCTGGAATGCAGTGGCATGATCTCAGCTCACTACAACCTCTGCCTCCTGGGTTTAAGCGATTCTCCTGCCTCAGCCTCTCAAGTACCTGGGATTACAAGTGCCCACCACCACCCCTGGCTAATTTTTTTATTTTTAGTAGAGACGTGGTTTCACCTTGTTGGCCAGGCTGTTCTTGAACTCCTGACCTCAGGTGATCTGCCTGCCTCGGCCTCCCAAAGTGCTGGGATTACAGACGTGAGCCACTATGCCTGGCAATTCAACAGAATTTCTATCAAAATTCCAAATAATCTTTTTCACTGAAGTGGAAAAGCTAATCCTCAAAATCATATGGAATAGCCGGGACAATCTTGAAAAAAGAATATAAAATTGGAAGATTCAAACTTCCCAACTATAAAACTTGCTATGAAGCCATAGTAATTCAAGTATTATGGTACTGGTATAAGGACAAACATGTAGACCACTGGAATAGATTAAGGAGCCCAGAAATAAACTTTTACATATATGGTCATTTGATTTCCTGCAGGTGCAATTCAGTAGGGAAAGGATAGTCTTTTCAACAAATGGTGCTGGGAAAACTGGATAGCCACATGGGAAAGAATGAAATTGAACTATAAAACTCGTAGAAGAAAACATAAGGGAAAGTTTTCATGACATTAAGTTTAGCAGCGATTTCACAGATATGACACAAAAAACACAAGGTACAAAAAATATAAATAAATCAGAGTTCATCAAAATTAAGCACTTTTGTGCATCAGATGATATATCATGAAAGGGTAAGGACAACCCACACAATAGAAGAAAATATTTGCAAATCATATATCCAATAAGGAATGAATATTCAGAATATGTAAAGAACTCCTGCAACTCAACGACAACAAAACAACCCAATTTTAAGATGGGCAAAGGACTTGAATAGATACTTCTCCAGAGGAGATATCCAAATGGCCAACATATGAAAAGATGCTCAACATCATTAGTCGTTGGTGAAATGCAAATCAAAACAATAAGATGCTACTTCACACCTTCTAGGTTGGCTATTTTTTAAAAAGGACAGTAGCATGTGTTGGTGAGGATGTGGAAAAATTGGAACGCTTGCACATTGCTAGTGAGAATGTAAAATAGTACAGTTGCTCTGGAAAACAATTCGGTTGTTTCTCAAAAGGTTAAACCTATAACTACTTTATGACCCAGCAATTGTACTTGTAGGGGTAGATCTAAAAGAATTAAAGAAGGGACTGAAACAGATACTTGTATACCAATCATAGCAGCATTATTCACAATAGCCAAAAGATGGAAGTAACCCAAGGGTCCATCAACTGATGAATGGATAAACAATATATGGTATATACATGCAATGGAATGTTATTCTGCTTTTAAAAAAAAAAAAAAAGAAAGAAATTTACAGCCCTGCAGTGGCTCACACCTGTAATCCCAACACTTTGGGAAGCTGTGGCGGAAGGATCATTTGAGGCCAGGTGTTCAAGGCTAGAGACCAGCCTGAATAACACAGGGAGAGCTTGTCTCTATTATGTAAAAAATATGAAGGAAGGAAAGAGGAGGGAGGGAGGGAGGGAAAGAAAGAAAAGAAATTTTGATACATGCTATGTATACAGACCTTGAAAACATTATTCTTAGTGAAATAGGCCAGAATGGCAGATAAACGATTCCACTTATATGAGGTGCTTAGAATAGACAAATATAGAGAGACGTAAAGTAGAATAGAGGTTGTCAGGGTCTGGGGGTTGGGCAGAATGGGATGTTGGTGTTTAATTGATATCAAATTTTTGTTGGAGATGATGAAAAAGTTTTGGGTATAGATGGTGTTCACAGTCGCACAGCATTATGAATATATTTAATGACACTGCATTGTACACTTGCAAATGGTTAAATGATAAATATTATGTATATTTTACCACATCAAAAAAGTTTTCCAATTTAAAAAGAGAGAGATTCTAGTCACATTCTAAAAAGTAATAACAGATGATGAGGAGACTACACCTAAGTTATAGAAAGTGTACTTTGGCCTTTGTCTTGTTTTTATTTTTATTTTATTTATTTTGAGACAGGGTCTTGTTCTGTCACCCAGGCTAGAGTGCAGTGGCACGATCACCTTACTGTAGCCTTGACTCCCTTGGCTCCAGCAGTCCTCCTACCTCAACCTCCTGAGTAGCTGGGACCACAGGCATGCGCCACGATGCCCAGCTAATTTTTGTATTTTTTCGTAGAATTAGGATTTCACTATGTTGCCTAGGCTGGTCTCAAACTGCTGAGCTCAAGCAATCCACCCACCTCAGCCTCCTAAATTGCTGGATTATAGGCATGCGCTACCGTGCCTGGCCCCTTGTCTTGTTCTGGAGAGTTATAAAGATAATGAGTATTTTCAGACATTTTCAAAAATGTATAGGTAGGACACGCATGGTGGCTCATACCTGTAATCCTAGCACTTCGGGAGGCTGAGATGGGTGGATCACTTGAACTCAGGAGTTTGAGACCAGTCAGGGCAACATGATGAGACCCCCAATTCTACTAAAAAAAAAAGAAAAAAAAATAGCTGAGTATGATGATGCATGCCTTTGGTCCCAGCATCAGGAGGCTGAGTTGGGAGGACTGATGCTCGAGCCGGGAGGGCAGAAGTTACAGTGAGCTGAGATGGGGCCACTGCACTTCAGCCTAGGTGACAGAGCGAGATCACGTCTGGGGAAAAACATGGAGAGAAATATTATTTTAATTTTTTCAGATGGGGTCTCACCATATTGCCCAGGCTGGACTCAGACTCCTGGGCTCAAGCGATCCTCCATCCTTAGCCTCTGAGTAGAACTACAGGCATGCACTACCATGCCTGACTGATTATGTTAAATTTTAATACTAAAAGATTATAGATTTTGTCTATAGCTTCCAAACTAACAGGGAGGGTAGAAAAGGATTAAAACAAAACAAAACTTTACTAACACAGTAGAAGGTAGGAAAAGAAGATGGGGAAAGGCAAAGAAGAATGGGTAATGGGAAAGATAAAATAAGATATCAGGTCAGAAATTAATCTGATACACTAAAAAGCCACTCATTAACATATACTGACTGTAAGGTTGGGTAGAGAAGCAAAATCTAGCATATACTATTTTTAATATATATACTTAAACAAAATGACCTAGAAGGGTTATTAAAAAGATACACCAGGAAAATACCAATCAAAATAAAGCTGGTGAATTCCAGACCCAAAGCCTGGAGTTTAGAAAAGTTAATAAGATACAGACTTTCAGTATTTCCTGTGTGGCTAGCTTCAAAGATACATTCTACCTGGCATCACTTGCCTATTTATCTTATCTTTCTAAATCAGTTTCCACAAATATTTATGAGTAACTGTGAGTTAGGTAATATAATATAGTAGAGACAAAGATGAGTACAACCTAAGTCCTTACTTCATAGAACTGACAGTCTACCAGGGGAAAGTCCAGTAAGTTTAAAACAAGGTAGCAAACTGTGAGCACTGTTAGAGAGTTATACGTGAGACATGATGGAAATTGGGAATGGGAGATAAAATCAGGAAAAGACTTTACACAAAATTTGGCATTTGAAATGGTCTTTAGAAGCTGTCCCGAAGCTATAATTTCACTAGACCATGACGGAGACATCAGCTTTTTTCCCCTTAGAGTATGAAGCACACTTTGGGACTTCTTCTTTGCTGGATAGCTTCATAAATTTAGGATACAGTGTTATCATTTCAGACTTCATTTGCTGGAAATGCAGCCTACTGCATTTACCTATAACAGCTCATTTGCTGTATTTTTCATTTTCCTTTGCTTAAGGTAACAGCACTGCATGGTTAGGTTAACACTTGCATTGCTTTTGCTTTTGAAAACTATTTTCTAATCTTTTGTCAGATAATGTCCTCATACTTCTTCAGAGTGTCTTAGAAGTAGATGTCCATGCTAGCTCTCCATGAAAGAAGGGTATATAATTTGCTTTTTCATACAGTACTGTTAATATTAGCAGGAAGGAACTGCTTTTATCCTAAATGAAAACATACTCCATATTAAAGACAAGGTAGACACTTTCCCATGAAGTTGGTCTGGGAGGAGGGAAATGGAATAGATGGCTCCTGAAATGTTTTCCTGTTTCATTCAGAGTCGGAATTTTCCCCTATCCGCTTTAGATGGCCAACAAATGAAAACTGGCATTTGGAATTACCACCATTCCTCCATTGCTTGCCATCTTCAATTTAATGTCTGCTTTTCCACAAAGATTAACATGTTTTCCACTCATGATTTACTTCTCAGGGAATTTAGGCATTTTCTGGAACCTAAAGTTTGCTCTGGTAGGGATGATTACTGGATAACTGCCTATTCTTTGGTGGAATTTCCATTTTTAGATTATACCAGGCTCTACAGCCTTTATTTCTTTGGCAGGAAAACCCAAAGGCAATGGAGTATATTTTTTCCCTTCCCTGGCCCAGCTTAAACAATGACTCACTTGGGCCCTGGGGCTTTGCTTCATACTCTCATCTAGGGGCCACTTTATACCCTTGTCTCTATTTTCCTTTCTTGTTCTGTTTGGACCCTTTATGTCCTTTGGCACATGGGATTTGTCTCTGGGATTATGTCAGAGAGATATACAATACCACCCCAAACTGGAACAGATACTCCAGTTATATCCCCATAAGCCATCCTGATGGCAGCTGGTATAGGCCAGGGAAAGTACAGACAGAATTTTTTTTTTTTTTTTTTCTTGAAACCAAGCCTCACTCTGTTGCCCAGGCTCGAGTGCAGTGGCATGATCTCAGCTCACTGCAACCTCCTCCCAGGTTCAAGCGATTCTCCTGCCTTCGCCTCTCAAGTAGCAGGGATTACAGGGGCCCGCCACCATGTGTGGCTAATTTTTGTATTTTTCTTTTTTTCAGTCTCCATAGAGACTGTCAAAAATTGCCAGTGCTGACGATATTTCAAGTTGTTGTGGCGGGGTATTGGGAAAAATTTTCAATTAGCAATAATCGTGCCTCAGATAAACCTCATTGGCTACGATACTGCCACTGTGCAAAGCTAATTTTTGTATTTTTAGTAGAGACGGAGTTTCACCACGTTGGCCAGGCTGGTCTCGAACTCCTGACCTCAGGTGATCCACCCTCCTTGGTCTCCCAAAGTGCTGGGATTATAGGCGTGAGCTACTGTGCCCATTCCAGAAAGAATAGCTTTAAGGAAACATAATTCCAGATGGAGTAGAGGGAAAAGTATTCTCCAAAAAGATATGAGTGCCATTGTCATCCAGTTAGAGGGTAAAAGACTTTCCTCCTTATGAGATGCTCTAATGACTGACTCAGATATCCTCTATGTGCCTGTGGAAGGTGGGAAGCACTCAGAGGAATTGGCCTCCAAGAGTTTTCAGAGACATACGGTTATATGAAAAGACTTCCTCATAGACGGACTAGGTCTAATCTAGAGTTCAGAGTTTTGTTGGGGAAAGAAATTCCTCCTTTTTGGCAGTGGTCCTCTCTGGTCCCAATTTTTCATTCGGATTCCATCCTGCTGGATTCCATCTAATGATGATTTCTTGATTTTTCTCTGCAGTTTTAACAGTGTATGCCAGGGAACTCACATTCTCTTTCGGGAATTCAGCTTCATCCAAGCCACCCCCCACAATAGAGTATCATTTTTACGGGCCTTCTGGAGATGCTTCCGAACTGTGGGCAAAAATGGTGGTAAGTCTTCCCAAATTCTTTATTCCTTTCTTTCAAATTTTTCTTTTGTTCCTATAAATATTGTTTGAATGCATGCTATTCAACATGTTTAGAATACCATACTTTCGAGGAGTTGTCTGGTTTATGTCAGAGATATTACTATTACCACTATCATCGCTAATGATACCCATTAAGAGCCAAGTGCAGCTCTGAGCACTTTACATGTAGTCACTCCTTTATCTTCACAAGGCTCTCTGTGGTAGACACTATAATCCGCATTTTGTAACTAATGAAAATTAGGACCAGTGAGGTTAAGTAACCTGGCAAGACTATATAGTAAATGTTGGGCCCAGATTTACACCCAGGCAGTCTGACTCCACAGCCCTTGCTCTTGGCAGATATTAAAATGCCATGCAGGAAATACAAGGAAAAATGTGAATACAAAGAACTGAAACTCCTGAATGGCGGTGGGATGGGGATACTGTTGTTAGAGAAGGGAGAGAAAAGTGGAGTAGAGAAGGTCCTCTTAGATCAACTGGCTACTTGATCTAAGGTGGGAAGAAAGAGTAGGAATCATTCACATGGATGAAGGAGAGAAGGGCATCCTAGGTAGAACACATGCTAAAGCACAAAAGAACCAGAATACTTCAGAAACAGACCAGAGTGTCTAGAGTTTGTGTGGAATTTGTGAAGGGGGTTAGGGGAGATGAGCCTGTAAATGAATAACAGACCTGCTGACAGATCATTTTTTAGCCATAAAAAAGAAATTGGGCCGGGCGCAGTGGCTCAGCCTGTAATCCCAGCACCTTGGGAGGCCAAGATGGGTGGGTCACTTGAGATCAGGAGTTCGAAGCCAGCCTGGCCAACATGGTGAAACCCGGTCTCTACTTAAAAATACAGAAATTAGTGGTGGTGCGTGCCTGTAATCCCACCTACTCAGAAGGCTGAGGAACAAAAATCGTTTGAAACCCAGGATCAGAGGTTGATATGAGCCGAGATTGTGCCACTGTACTCCAGCTTGAGTGACAGAGTGAGACTCTGCCTAAAAAAAAAAAAAAAAAAAAAAAAAAAAGTTAAATTTTATTCTCTGGGTATTATTTGAAGGCTTTTTTTTTTTTTTTTTTTTTTTTTTCCTTTTTTCTTAGACCCTGTTGCCCAGGCTGGAGTGCAGTGGCATGATCATAGCTCACTATAACCTTGAGCTTCCGGGCTCAAGTGATCTTCCTAACTCAGATCACTTGAGGTCAAGAGTTCAAGACCAGCCTGGCCAACACGGTAAAATCCCCTCTCTACTAAAAATACAAAAATTACCCGGGTGTGGTGGCGCGTGTCTGTAGTCCTCGCTATTCAGGAGTCTGAGGCAGGAGAATTGCTTGAACCTGGGAGGCGGAGATTGCAGTGAGCAGAGATTGCACCACTGTACTCCAGCCTGGGTGACTGAGTGAGACCCTGTCTCAAAAAAAAGACAGTTTTTGTATTGATTCTAACTGAAAAAAGAGGAAGGCCTAAACTACTTCCTTATTTATTTAACAAATATTGCTGGCAGACTTACTATGTGCCTGGTGCTGAGGCTACAGTAAGTGAATAGGTGGATACCCTGCTTTTGAATTTAGAGATTCCCCACCATGCTCTAATCAATGCTACTGCTACTGAAACTGTAACTTTTCTAAATAGCTACTAAATATATAGCTATTGAACTTTTATATATAGTTGCTTTCTGAGGAGAAATTCATGGGAAAAGAATATATACATATATAGTTGCTAAATCTTTTCTAAAACTTTTCCACCCAATATATTATTAGTTCCACTATCCTAAGAAGTAGGTAAAGTGGGCATTATTGTGCCCATTTTTTAAATAATAAAATTGTATAACTTGCAGAAAGATTTCATGGTGGGTTAGTAGAAAGCTAGAAATAGAACCTAAATTTACTAATATACTGATAAATTTACTAACATGCTGATGTGTTATTTCTATTGTTACTTCAATCATTGCCTCTTTGACATGTAACTCTGGAGATCATGCATCTCCATTACAGTATTATGCAAGAAGTACTTAGTGTACTGAGGATCATATAATTTCCTTTACAGAATAAATGTACTAACTGGCAAAAACCAATGTAATGGGGACTCAATTATTAAGTGAAGTAACTCAGAAAAACTAGTCCACTGGTTTCTATGTAAACAAACTGGAACTGTGAGTGTATAGGGAAAGTTCGTACTATATGATCAGAGCTTGTCTTCCCAGTCCCTTATTCAGTCAGCAAATGTGTGTTGTACACCACCTAGTACAGTCGTCTCTCAGTATATCCAGGGATTGGTTTCAGGACCCCGCTTATACCAAAATCCATGCATAATCAAGGCCTACATTAGTCCTGTGGAACCCTCACATATGGAAAGTCAGCCTTCTGTATACAGGGCTTCATACCCCTAGAATAGTGTATTCTTGATCCATATTTGGTTGAAGAAAATGCGCATGTAAGTGTGGACCTGCACAGCTGAAACCTGTGTTGTTCAAGGATTGGTTGTATTGAAGAATACAACTGAAACTAGTTTCTGTGATATATGGAGATAACTATGGAAAAAGGTCTTCAGATAGCCTTCACTGTTTTCCTGATGCAGAAGTGGGGCCTCTTCAAGAATGTATTTACTATCACAAGGGATTCATATAGCATTTGGACTCTTAGCAGATGTGGGTTTCTTTATCTTTCTAATAGCAGCTGCCAGTGACTCATCCAGCTGCTAAGAATAAGCAGCTCCAAATCCTCCCTGTTTCTCCTTGTGCCATAAACAAGACCTAGATTTTATGCTGGCTGTTTACTGTTATGCTTTTTAATCAGAAAGCCTCAAATTTCTTAGACTAAATGCAACATCTGTGTTTAGGTGATCGTAAAATCATTGATTAAGTAGTTTTAATAAATTCTCAGCTTTTTCTAGGAAACTTTAGAACATGTTTCTAAACCAGAATGTGTCAGTCCTCAATTTTAATCCAGAATGAGTGAAAACTCTTGGAGGCAAGGTTCTAAAGTAAAGGATTTATTAAGCCCTGTTTTATCAATTACAATGCCAGGTACCTGTCTACTCAGTGGAGCTCCTACTACGTTGATCTTCTACAGATAACTTCCTTAGAGCGTCATGTGCATATTTTAGCATTATCAAGTGGAAACTTAAGTCTTCTGGGAGGCAGCAAAAGAAGAGCATAACATATCTAAAAATCAAGCCACATGTAGAAATTCCAGGACCATGTCCCTTTTGATAAGAAATATTTTATTCCAGTTTTTAGCAAGTACAGGGGTATAATATCATTTCTGCATGACTGAGTACTGATGCTAATTGTCCTGTCCCAATCTTAGATAATCTTATGAAGACTGGAGTGAACCTCTTGCTATCTAAGAAACCTTAGACTGTTGGAGGCCAAATGATATATTAGAATTTTAAAAGCCTTTAAAATTATATGTCTCACTTTGCTAATTTTTTTGGTATAGAAATATTAATCTGAATTTTCTAAGTCTGGCAAAGATTGATATTCTCTTGATGTAAATCTTTACTTCTGTTTAGGGATATGAGCTCAAAAGAGCCTTCTCCGATCTTATTTTCAGTAAAAATTTAATTTTGAATACATACATATGTGTGTGTGTGTGTGTGTGTGTGTGTGTGTGTGTGTGTGTGTATCATTTAATAAAATAATGATAGGTACTTCCTCTTCTACCTGGGAAGAACTACCTACTAAGGGAATTGCCCTCTTGCCACTAACAATGAGAAAATCAGAATATCTGAAACAACGGTTTTCAGACATTGGATGATAATGGGGACTGTGGATTCTGAGAAGCAGTTTCCAGGCAATAGTATAGGGAGGGAGATTGTCAACGAGCTTAGCAGTGTTATTGACTTGAGGAGGTGGAGACTGGGGTTAAGAGAGGCTGGAGCAGCCAGAATTTGCAGGTCAGAATTCAAGAGAGGAAAGAGTTGTTCAGTGAGCTCCAAAATCTTTGGCTACAAACTCTGCATATGGGTGGGTTGGAAAAAGAACCACCAGAAAACAGTGGGTCAGACCATTTCTGGTGTATACAAGGGGCTGAGGATAATTCACACTCCTATCAGCCACAGAGGAGAGGCCTCAAAACTAACAGGGCATTGGGTAGAGATCTCAACAGTTTAAAAGCAAAAAGGATTAACTTGTTCTGCAAGTAATTTAACGCCATACAAGAACAAAGTTCAATAATCTTTAAAGGAATTCAACAAAATCCAGCATTCAGCAGTGCAAAATTCACAAAGTCTGACATCCAATTCAAAATTATCAGACAGGCCAAGCATGATGGCTCATGCCTACAATTCCAGCACTTTGGGAGGCCAAGGCAAGTGGATTGTTT